ACCAACTGTTCCAGCTATACAATATACAGTGCCTGATGTGTTTATTGCCACGTTTTCTATGACCAGTCCTCCTTTCTGTTGTGTTTCTCCAGTGCCTGTGTTATTCCAGGGAAATGAGTAACACAAGGGGAGGAGAGTGCATAATGACTTCTACACTGTAGGGGGTTGTCTGAACTAACATATGGATCATGCTCTGCATCTCCTGAATATGTGTAGGAATCTGTGTTCAGGATGTATTATGCAGAAAACATGTAGAAGGTGAGCTACTCAGGTTTCTTTGAAAGACAAATCAGTGTGTATCACAGACACTTCACACTTCTTGATTCATAGCTTTGAGGGTCAAAGAGGAGCCAAAAGCAAGAATTTGTCTCCTAAGGAGGACTAAAGCCATAATAATTCTAATTTTATCTGTGCTATTTAGCAAGTCCTGTTAGCTAGATTTCTTTCTTTTTCTCCCTAATCAGTAAATAGATGAAGTATGGAAACAGTTGGGGGAAGAGGAGAGCTATAATCCTGTGCTGCCGAAATCTCAAACTTTCACTTTTTGCCAGATGGATATTAGAGCACATTTTAAACAGTCAGTATTCTCAGGCCATGTTGTATGATTATTGATACAAGATTTGTGTGTATAATGGAAAAGAGCAAAGAACCTCAAAATACCCACCAGTCACCAAAATGTTTGCATTAAAGAGATGTATATGAAGATTGCCAGTTTGAGATTTTAAGTGTGAATCTTGTAGAGGGGAATGTAATGTAGTCCATAATGAGAAACAATTTAAAAACAGAAGATATTAGTTGGAAAAGGGAAAATGCTTTACTGAGGAGGGTCGGTTTGGGGGTCAGTATTTTCTGTCATTTTATTCCCTCTATGGGATGTTACTGAGCAGAATGTTTTACATAATAAAATTCTGGACTCCCTTCTCGGCTGTTGATATTCCACTTGTGTACACTCAGAGAATGTCAAAGATGACAGCTGGTTATTTCTTCAACACACAGATTTTGATTATGCCTTGTTTTATGGTTAGTATCCAGTGTTCACAAGAAATGTTTTCCCACCCAGAAGACAACGAATGTTGGACTGATCTAGTAATTGTTCTTTCCTGTATTTCCTTTGGGCTCTTGTTCAGCTAGTTGGATCTGAGTTGTTTTAAAAATAATTAGGCCATCATAAATCACTTTGAGTTAGTTCACATGTGACATCACCAAGGAGACCCAATGGGACAATTAGAATATGTTTTTGGACAATCTATCTGTAGCTATGTTAACTGCTTTATGATGAAAATAAAGTTTGTAAACAGTAGTCTTTACAGTGTGACAAGTTAAAATATATTGCACCCTGATATAGCTGTTCAGCAAATTAGATTTTCATATTGCTAATTGAATTTGTCACAAAGCTGATGAACATTAGCTAAAGAAAGAGCAATATATTTTATTTTACTGAGCACATCTCAGAGTGCTTGTAATTTAGTAGGGCCACCACACTTTCTGGGCAGGCTATCAAGTAGGATGTTGTAATGATTTGCATGACTACTATAGTAGATGGAAAAATGTAGCTTGTGTTTGTAGCTGTTCCATTAGTGTCTTGCACAGTGTGTGCTCCTTTGGTGCTCTTCAGAGAGCTGTGTCATAATCTCAGCATCTTTTGAAGAGTTCTGTCTGGTGAAATCAAGTGACTATACACTGTTCAAAACCTACTACATAATTAAATGATGAGACAAAGGAAAGACTGAGAAAGGCAGATAACCAATAGAATCCTGAACTTATCAAAACAGAGCTCTTGCCAAGGACCTTGGAATTCATCTGATTCAGTTGCTGGAAACATGCCTGAATTAAAAATTATCCTACGAGGACCAAGAAAATAGAGCCAAATTCTGGCACTGTACAGTTCTCTCCCAAAATGGACATTAATGCTGCAAAAACAAAATAGGGTGAACAACCCCTGGCGCCATGCTTGGCCCCCTACTGTAGGCTCTATCTGCCAAAACAAGATGGAATAGAAGATCAAAAATGGGGGGGGGGGGGGGGGGGGGGAGGTGAAAGAGGGGAGGAGAAGTTGGAAAAGGAGGGTGGTTGGAAAGGAAGAAACTCATAGGCTATGCCCCCTGCCAGCACTGAAACACTCGACTGCAGCTCCGCTTGCAGAGCACCTGTTGGCAGCTGCTGGAGTAGTTTATAGGTTTTGGGATAGAATCAGGATTGAAAACTTAGAGTCTATGTTCCCTTATGTGACGTGATTTGGCCTTATTTTAATAAAATAGAAATCATTCCTGGGCAATAATTACAGCAATAAATATGTCTGTTCAGAAATAACGACAGCTCTTGCTTTCTAGAAAAAGTATATAATAAATTGCATGATTTTTAATACCTCTCCCTACTACTAATATTCTTTGGCTGGTATCATCTATGCTTTCTTCCTTTTATCCAGAACTGAAAAACAAACCCATGCTGCATGGAGTGGAAAGAAAATACAACAAAACAATGGTCATAAATGTTAACTTGATACTGTCATTCACAGTGGCAAGAAGCTAGGTGTAAGGGGTTATCTGACCAGTATGATCTTTTACAAGCTTTATACATTAGGGTGGAGTGACAGAAAAGTAGGAAAATTGTATATATTAAATTAGAACTCTTAACAAATATTTTATGTCAAGAATTCAGTTTAAGCATTTTAACATCTTCACAAACTTCCATGTAAACTCCTGTTCAAATACATTTTGTTGAAAATTTTAGCATTAAAAATTACTGGTGTTTGTGTACAAAAAATTTTGCACTCCTTTGTTGTTATATAAATAGATTATTATTCTTTAAGAGAAATATATAATAATTACCAGCAATATATGTATTCAATATGTGAAGTATATCAAGCAGAAAATTAATGGTTATTTTTAAATATAGGTATTTATTATAGGCCGAGGTAAAACTCTATTGCTTTTATTGGCTAACTGTCCTTTGACTATAATGAGAATCTTCCTGCTGCTAATGCTTTGGTTCAGTGTAAAAGGCTTACTTAGATAAGTATCTGTATTACTTAGAAAGTCTGGATAAATTTAAAATAGAAAGTAGATAATATTTTGGAATTTAATACTTTCTTATATAAACTTTAAAAACCCCACAGTTTTCCTGTTCTACTTGAAACACTAAACTTATTAGTTCTAAAATAATTGAAATATGAAACTTTAAGCCTTTCTTAGATTTATATTCAGTAATGAAAAAAAACTCAATTTTCTGACGCTGCAGTGTATGCTACCCAGGCAGAGGTTGGCTCCTACATGACACCCACCAAGAGTCTTTCTCCATCAAGTCTGCCAAAGAATAGGGCCAAAGCACAAATTCCATTAGTTCAATAGTTTGTGTGTGGAACATTTCAAAATGAAATTTTTCACTTTGTGTTAGCATAATTTCTTTGCCTTGCTTAGAAAGAGAAAGTAGTTAAGTAGCCTAGCATGTAAATAAATTGTCTTAGTAATAGAGACTGTGAGCTTTAGTGACACCTGAGCTCAACCATATTCTGTGCCATTAAAATCAGAGGACAGGATCTGGACCTTAAAACAGTGATATCTGAACAAGGAGAGCACCTAGTGGAACATAAGCATGTGCTTCATTTCAGTGGGGCTATATGGTATGCATAAAGAAAGTAATTTGCAGATATTTTAATTTGAATAAATAATACTTTACTGAGTCAATATTTTTAGAAATTTAGCTATGAATAAACAAAGACACATTCTGTATTACAAATTAATAAGTAATTATTATAGCAATAATAATTACTTATTATTGCTATAATAATAAAATAAGTTAAATAGACGCATTCAAACATTATAGTAAGTAGTCTTCACAAACTGGCTTTGCATGTTATAGTATTAAATTTATTACTCCGAATCAGAAGAGACCATGGATGCTGAAGAGTCTTAATAAATCAGGGCACAGAAAGTTCAAAGACATGATAATCTAATATCTAGGACATAAGGATACATATTTTCTCAGCATTTGTTTAAGGAATTCTTTAAGATTTGTGTAGTTGTTTTTACTATCTCTGCACATTGACAGATCTAAAAAATACACTTTTACTATGGTCCTGATAAAAATACCTTTTTATTGTTTGGTGTTTGTAATGAAGGTAGTATACAAAATGGACAGAGGAGTAGGCAAGCCTAGAAAATTGAAACGAATATAGAGAAGCTCTGAAAGTTTTCCCTGGGTGATGTATGCTGAGGAGCATGGGCAAAATGTGGATGGTAAACTTCTGGACTTTTCATGAGCTGTCAGGTGGGTGGAAATAAGTAATGGAACCAACTTTGAAGCTGGTGGTGGCAGGTGCATTCGGCATCTCCTATTTCTTGGCATTTCCCCCTTGCTATTCACACCCTCAATTCTTGGAGATGGAAAGTCCCCAGCATGTGATTTTAAGTGCTCATGATGAGCAGTGGAGCAGGAGGGGGAAAAGCCAGGACTACGCATCAGCATCAGCGTGGAGCAGAACAGGATGAAGAACCAGTAAGGCTGCAGCTCAAGTAGCCAGCTCAGGAATCAGCTGTCATCTTAACATCGAGTTCATCTGAGCCCCCAGCGCTGTCTTGTATACAAGCAGTTTCCTTAGGGATTAGTCTTATGTGGCAGAGAAGCCAGTGCCAACCTGAACTCCCTTTCTTCACTATTTTCAACAAGATTTAATGAATTTTATACGATGCCAATAAAATATTCCTGCTGTTCTTGTCAGAAAACTGAGCAAAACCTATGATTAAACTGATCACATAGCTCAAATCTTTACTTTCCCCACCATAATGAACAACTAACACTGTTTACTGTCAAAAATCCCTGATGATTCCAATATACTACAGAAGAGTATCTTTAATATACAAGGTATAGAAGTACTGTATCACCAATGATATGTTTAGAATTTTACTTTACTTTTCAAACTCCAAAAACTATTGAAGTCAATGAAAATTAAACTACTATTTGTACAAATGTTTATTAGTCATTTTTTTATTTTTATTTTATAGGTCTTGTAGAAATTTGCCTGATGCATCCCCTGGATGTAGTGAAAACAAGGTAAGATTCTGCTTGAACAGGTTTTGTTGACACTGGAAGATCTCCAAATTAGGAGCTGTCAGAGAATAAAATTCTAGAACTTCTCCAAGTAAGATAACTTGTGCCTTTAATGGCATTTATATTTACTTACCTGTATCCACAGCATTTGACAGGTGGATTTTGAATAGCATGACATTTCTGATTAGAGGTCATCTAAAGGTGTTAAATCTGGTTTACGGCATGTATTTTTAATGTTGTAGCAAAATCATATAATGTGAAGAGAGATATAGTTAAATTCACTTACTATATGTATCATCTGCATGAATGCTTTTATATGTAATTGGGCAATACCCCATTGCCTCCAAAATAATTTTCACAGATTTTGAGACCTAACAAAAGTAATAAAACAAGGTCTTATATATTCTTTCTGTAAGCTAAGTACCTTCATATTTTTATCTTTTTAATTTTTTTTTATCTATCCTTATTTTATTTTCTGAATATTTGTACTTATGTGAGTATAAATTATTGACCTGGAAAATTTGGTCAAATGAGGTTTTTTTAATGTTGATTATTGAGATGGAAAAAGAATAGTTGCGTTTCTAGTTTCTTTGATATCTTTTTAGTTTTCTATGCTTTTTAGTTTTCATATCAATTCATGAGTGAGTGTTACCATATGTGCAAAGCAAACTATACAATAAGGAGGAGAAAACTTTTCATGCCATGCGTGTTACACGCAATGCCAATAATTACCATATACAGTTCCTGGAGATCTATCTAGGTCTCAGTCATGTAGGCAGCAAAGCTTTGCTAAGAGATGTTTCAACCCCAAACAAATTATGAGGACAGCTGTGATCTCTGGAATATGCTTGAAGCAGTCAATTATGAATTAAGATTCTAGTCCAGTTAGCCAACATGTGAGCTTGTTACGGATGTATTTTGGCTTCTCTTTAAATCACGTTCTCGGCTTTGCCTAAGACCTTGAGATACACTTTTCTGCAGCTTGCGTTTTGCAGGAGGCCATCTGTCTGTGGTCGTTGCCCAGCACCAGGGCCCAGTAATGCAGGCTCCAGCCATGGTCACTGCTGCTGAGGTGCTGTAGCTTCTCCTTGGGGCTTGGAGTTTGCTCAGGCAATTCTGTATGCCTTCATAATATGAAATATGTTGCTTCATACAGAGACAATACACCTGGTAGTTTCAAGGGTTCTCTCTGCCCCTCTACATACCGCCAAGACCTTGATATTAAAACAAGATTTACATATAGAGATTGAAATTAAAGACTCAGAAACAACAGGGTATAAGCAAAACAAATACAAGACCAAATTTGAAAGGAAAAAAAAAAAAAATCTGTCCTGCTCTGCTGTGATGTGGACCTCATAGGATGTGCTTTAGTGACTACATTTTGGCAGGTTGTGCTATAACTCACGTATGGCTCTCAAGCTTTTGATTTTACCTCTTCCTGTTTTCTTCTTTGTACTAAACCAGGAGTCATGTTCTTATGTAGTATAAATGCAGCAATGGTGATTTACTTCTCATATCTTTGATTCCTTTGAGGTTGCCATCCTACACATCCTCGTGCCTCCAGTCTTGGAAGAACTTAATACATATCCTTAGAATCATTCATGATTTAAGACATGCCACATACCATATATCATAAAAAGCATTAATTGTACATCTGTTCTGATAAACTGGCAATCAACAGATGTACTTTCAGCTCTCTGATAGAAACCACGCATACAGTGGACTCAGAATACAAGGACAGATTTCCCCGTTTCTCTTCCAGATTTTACTGGTTTTGTCATGCTTTTAGTAGCGAAAATGCTAATCAGATCTGAGATCCAGAAATGGAAAGCATAAAAGAGTGTACAGCGTTGTCTGTGGAGCTGTATCAATATTAAAAAAAAAAAAAAAAAAAAACCACAACAACATAATAAAAGTTAGGAACGCTTTAAATGTGAAATCTGAGTCCACAAACAGTGGAATTAAAGAAGAATGCAGGAAAAAAATGAAAGAATAATAGGTGTGTAGGAGAAATCAGATTATGAATCATGGTGAAACCAAGAGGCCGAATTAAGTAAAAAAAGCCATTAAGCAAATTTCTTCATTTGAAGAAACTTCGAGTTAGCTTTGAGTTAGCTGCAACTTTTTGCAGAAGTGGGCAGTACCTAAGGGATAGTTTTTCTGTGTTTTGATGATGCAGTTGTATTCAGAGATACTACACAGATTTTGCACTAACTTTTCTGCTGATCTTAGCAGACATTAGTACTTGAAAATACTTAGATTTTTAAATCCAATTACAAAACCAATAATAGAATATCCTTTGATATCCATCATTCTATTCTGCGTTCCTAGCATCATGCCATTTCCTTTCATTTTGTAATTGCCCAAGTTTACTATAGCAGATTAATTCTTTGATGGCCTTGGAGAAATTAAAATGAAACGTTTTTGATTCTGAACTTTGGATTTCAAATGTTTTCTAATGCATTTTCATTTACTTTATTACTTTGTTGCAGTGCCTCTAAGACTGCAGTGCACTTACTGTTTTTAAACACAGTATTTATAATCTGTCATTTCCTAATGACTTCTAGCTATTACAGTTTTGGTGGTTTGTTTGGGTTTTTTTTTTTCCTTATGGTTAAGTGAAAGGATGTATAAAACCACCATTTGTTTCTTAATTTGTATGGTGTTTTGAGTTTCCTGCCTTTTTTCTGTAAAGTGTTTGGTGGAAAGAGTCCCATGGCCTTTTCAAATTAGTGGAATCTTATTGATCTAAGTTAGCATTCTGAAGGAGTTTATGGAAGTTGCCAAAGGCTCACATCTAGTGGACTGGTGGCTTAGCATGTTTGCTTCATTGATTTTTTGTGTGTGTGTATGCTTTTAATTAAAAATTGGATAAAATAAAGTTACTGTCAGAGATTATTTTGAAACCCTGGAAAATGGTTTGGCTCTTTTGTGACAACATTTTGCAATATTTTTTCTGTGTTTAGTAATTTTCTATTATTCTACAGTAACAATGCTAGACTTGTTTATCTCCTCACATCAATGGAGGGACAATATATATATAAAAATATGTGTTTATAAATGATAGATAAGTGAAATGCTTAATGGAGTGGTTTTTGCTAAATGTATATTTGAAAATCTTTTTATTTTTTTATTTATTAGAACACCAAAGATCATTAAGAAATTCATGTGAGCGAGATAGCTAGATGGAGATAACTATGATCCACTGTTTTAGCTCTATGAATCCCACTTCTTTGAAATAAAGCTCTTTTCTCAATTACAAGATAATATTGGTATAGTTTCTAATGAGAGACTATTAAAAAAAATGCACTAAACTTTTAACGTCTCCGTATATCAGAGAATCTGTTATCTGTTTTATTTATCAGTTACCCTTATGATGAATTTAGCCATCTATAGATTAAATAAAGTACTGAATCTCTGCTTTTGTCCTCCTAAACACAAATTTTACAGAATTTGGTAAGGGGTTATGTATGTGCCTATGTAGGAGCAGGGAGAGCAGTAGCAAGTAAGAGTTTTCTGATACAGAGACAGCGAAGACATAGAAGATCTACTTTTAATTAAGAAACCTATATGATTTTTCTTTTCTGGAAGATGAGGAGAAAGGTGTCTTAGTCTGGATAGATTGGTTTTACTTATTTTGGACCCTTTTTTGTGTCTTAAGTGTAATGCAGGCTGTATTGTCATTTTCATCCATCAAGATGATCAAGGGATGACAAAAGAGTATGCTAAGATGATGATATGTAGGACAAGACATTGTCATATATTACTTTAAAATTAAAAATAGAAAAAAGCTTTTCCATATAGAGCTTATCTTTTGTGTCCTACTGGCATATGTTTTGGCTTAAGCAAATGTAAAAAACCCAGAACTTAATAATGTTTTATTGTTGGAAAATTAATACTTGTGCAACAGCTTACAGGTATAGTTGGTGACTGAAAGGTAGATAATTACATGGAGTTGTCTGAGGTCAAGGGAAAGCTAATGTTGTTTGAGAGATCAGTCAAGGAAGCCTGACTGATAACTGGAGGATGTTACTGTGGTCTGTCGAATGGCTCCAGGTTATGTTCTGATGTAGTTCTATAGCCTTGAAGAGCTTGAATTTTCAGAAAAAAAAAAAAAAAGAGTTGTTTTTGTTTTGTTTTGTTTTTTTCAATTTTCCTACTACTGAGTTGCTGGCATAAAAGTGACATTTTCAGGTGTTTGATAACTTCCAAACTACATGTGTTAACATAGAATTTTCCTTGCTATTACATTTTAACACCAAAATATGCATGCAAACAAGAGTGATATTGCAAAATTAGAACTGACTAGGAATAAAATTTTGACTAATATTTCCTCAGGTTTATAAATTGTTTACCTTTACATGTACTTTTTCTTTTTTTGTTGACTATGACCAGTATTTATACAGCTGAATTTTAGTGCCTCCACTGTTCCTGAAAACAAATTTCAAAGTTGCCTGTGCAAGTATTCATACAAACTGTGAAACATATATCGAAGTAGAAATAGTCATTTTGGTTGTGACTTGGTATTGTGTAGTTAGGAAATGGAAACCATACTTTGTAACATTTTTGATCAGTTGTTTACATGATTAAGTGCTTTCAAATAAAAGAGAAAAATAACAAGACATCACCAAAAACTTTCAAATACATAACACATCTGAAAATTTTGGTGCCTGAAAGTCCTGTGAACAGGAAAAATATCATGTAGATTAGATGAATAATTTACTTATCTCTTTAATTTTGGCAGAGATTTGACATCGCTATATGTTTTGAGACAAATATTTGAAAGAAAGATTGTTTCATGTCAGACTAATACAGAATTCTGCTCCAGATCTGCATTGACTTCATTGGAAATAGATTAGTTCATACCACTTGAAGGTTACGATTTTTTTATTCCGGACAAGGTATTTCAAGAGTGGTAAACGTTATCAAACACCAACTATAATCTAAAGGACTTGGAGAAAGTCTAGTTTATTATTTTATCAGGAGAATCATCAGGGTAGCTT